CGCTCAGATCCGCGCGGTGCCTCACTCCGCTGGACCCACCAGCAGCCCTCGAAAGTGGCGACAGATTCGCAGATCGCAGCCCCCCAAGGACGGGGAGGTCTTGCTCAGATCCGCGCGGTGCCTCACTCCGCTGGACCCACCAGCAGCCCTCGAACGTGGCGACAATTTCGCAGATCGCAGCCCCCCAGGGACGGCGATGTCTCGCTCAGGTCTGCGCGGTGCCTCACTCCGCTGGACCCACCAGCAGCCCTCGAAAGTGGCGACAGCCTCGCAGATCGCAGCCCCCAAGGACGGGGAGGTCTTGCTCAGATCCGCGCGGTGCCTCACTCCGCTGGACCCACCAGCAGCACTCGAACGTGGCGACAATTTCGCAGATCGCAGCCCCCCAGGGACGGGGAGGTCTCGCTCAGATCCGCGCGGTGCCACACTCCGCTGGACCCACAAGCAGCCCTGGAAAGTGGCGACAGCTTCGCAAATCGCAGCCCCCCAAGGACGGGGAGATCTCGCTCAGATCTGCGCGGTACCTCACTCCGCTGGACCCCCAAACGCCCTCGAAAGTGGCGACAGCTTCGCAGATCGCAGCCCCGTAGGGACGGCGAGGTCTCGCTCAGATCCGCGCGGTGCCTCACTCCGCTGGACCCACCAGCAGCCCTCGAACGTGGCGACAGTTTCCCAGATCGCAGCCCCCAGACAAGGCAAGAGGAGACAAGGAGGGGTGGCGGGAGGCTGGAGGCAGGAGGCGGGAGGCGGGAGAAAGAGAAGGAAACGCGACCGCAATGCTCTATTCCAAACGAATACCCAACCAAGGAGGGTTGGGAAACATTATAATTACCCTGGCGACGTACCCAACCCCTGCGCAATGCGGGGCAGGAGTAGCTTGGGAGAGTTGACGAAAAGGCGGCGACGTGACATGGACGCATATACTTCCGCGAGCGGCATTCGGAAGGTTCGCAGGTCGCCAATCAAGGGAAAAACGATGAGTAACTAAGTGAACCCCTGAGTCACTAAGGAAAACGCATCACTAAGGCAGACGCAAGGTCCAAACGGAGACGGTGGGCAAGGGGCTTGAAACGTAGGCGGGGCAGCAACAACATGACATGGCTCCCAGGGACGGCGAGGTCCCGTTCAGGTCTGCGCAGTGCCTCACTCCGCTGGACCCACCAGCAGCCTTAGAAAGTGGCGAGCCAAACCGGCAGTCCTCGAAAGTGGCGACAGCTTCGCAGATCGCAGCCCCCCAGGGACGGCGATGTCTCGCTCAGGTCTGCGCGGTGCCTCACTCCGCTGGACCCACCAGCAGACTTCGAAAGTGGCGATAGTTTCGCAGATCGCAGCCCCCTAGGGACGGCGAGGTCTCGCTCAGGTCTGCGCAGTGCCTCACTCCGCTGGACCCACCAGCAGCCCTCGAACGTGTCGACAATTTCGCAGATCGCAGCCCCCTAGGGACGGCGAGGTCTCGCTCAGATCCGCGCGGTGCCTCACTCCGCTGGACCCACCAGCAGCCCTCGAAAGTGGCGACAGCCTCGCAGATCGCAGCCCCCAAGGCATGGCAAGAGGAGACAAGAAGGAGGGGGAGCGGGAGGCGGGAGGCAGGAGGCGGGAGGCGGGACGGGGAGGAGAAGGAGACGCGACCGCAGTGCTCCATTCAAAACGAATACACAACCAAGGAGGGTTGGGAAAGACTCCAAAGTACTACCAGAAAAAATGCCCAAAATCCTAGGAGGAGGAAGGGAGGAAGGAAGGGGAAGGAAGGAACGCGGGGCGCTGTCTCTTCAAAACGAGGACCCAGCACCACGGGATGATCGGGAAAAATCGTCCCCCGACGATTATTTACTACTTTTCTGAATACTGTGGCGGACACGCCCGACCCAGACCTGGCACAGACATCTTGCACGGTGCTGCTACCCTTAGGTCGGGCCAGGGGGATTCTCGACGAAAAATAACCGATACCCCAAATATGCCCCCAAAAAAACCAAAAAGTACTCAGATAATAGTCCCCGGACTATTTTTGGACTATTTCTGGAATATGGTTCGGGTATCTTTTTTTTTTTTCGTCGAAATCCCTTTGTTTTAGGTATTATGTTTGTTTCGTGTTTTTGTTGAGTATACTATGGGTTTTTGTGTTTTATTGTTCGTCGAAAATCCCTCTGTGTTTGTCGTGCGTGCTTTTTTTTATGTTTGGGGTATTTGTTATGTTTCGTGCTTTTTTTGGGGGGGGGTATTTTGTACTTTTCGTCGAAAATCCCTCTGTAGGGGGACAGGCCCGCCTTAATGCTACCCAGGCGGCACGGCCAGCAGGGCATGCCCGCCACCGAGCGCGCACGTCGCCCAAAGAGGGGAGGGGGAAGCGACGCGCGCGCGCAGCACACCTGCAGGGGGGCCCGACCACGAAGCACCTCTCGGGGGTCTTCTGACCCGGGTCAACCCAAGATCCTCCTCCTCCTCCTCCTCCTCCTCCTCCTCCTCCTCCTCCTCCTCCTCCTCCTCCTCCTCCTCCTCCCCCTCCTCCTCCTCCTCCTCCCCCCCTCCCCCTCCCCCCTCCCCCCCCCTCCCCCTCCCCCCAGGTCAATCCAAGGGTTTTCCGACCCCTGCACACTGCAGGGGGTCTTCTGGCCCGGGTCAACGCCCGCAGGGGGTCTTCTGGCCCCCGGGGGTCTTCTGACCCCTGCACACTCCAGGGGGTCTTCTGGCCCGACGCGTGCGCAGCACACTGCAGGGGGTCTTCTGACCCGGGTCAATCCAGACCCGGGTCAGCGGGAAACCAAAAAACTGCAATGCAGGGGAAAAAAACTGCAACGCAGGTCTTCGCAAACCAGGGTCAGCCAATATGCGCGGCCGTCTCGCGGCCACGAGCGGCTCGCTGACCCAGGTGAGCCAGAGGGGGGCTTCGCAGGATCCTGCAGGATCTGGTGCCCTGGCTGACCCCCGTTTGCATTGACCCCCGTCTCGAGGCTCCCGAACACCTTCCACTTCTGGGACGCCGGCGGGGGCTCAGAACTCAAAGGCTGTCTGCAGCCAGGCGAACCCCAGCGGAGGAGGTGTCCGATGCACCAGCGTCGACTAGACCTGCCGCAGTGGTAGGCTTCGCCATGGGCCGGCGAAGAGAACCCAGGTCCCACGCGAGACGGCATGGCGACCTCGCGCCGCTGCTTACGCGGGCCGCCACCGCGGCACTCCGCGTGGAGAAGGTGGCGCGCGCGCGTGACCTTGCGCGGGAAGCTTACAGTAGGTGCCCGACCACAAGAAGCCTTCCACAAGAGACCCAAACCCTGAGACCCCAGGACGTCCATCGATGTTTGGTGTGGGAGCGTCACGCTTTCCATGGCAAAACCATCAAAGCCCAAGAAGCCCAGGGCACCCTGGAGGCCAGCAGCGTGTTTCTTGGCATGGGCCTCCACTGTACGAGCCTGCGTGATGCCGGGGTCAAGGTCAATTCTCCCCCTCCTCGCGAGGCGCACCAGCGCGGTGCAGCCTAAGACAGCTCGCCTGGGCATTAGTTCTGGATGCAATGGGTGCTCCTGGGACGGAGGTGATGGGAGAACTCGCCGGCCCAACGGGCCAGAGGCGTGCTAAAATCTCCGGCAAGAGTTTGAATAGCTCGAGCGCGCGTGACGGCCCCCGGGGGGGGCCCTGGACGAAAAGCACCCCGGCAAGGTCCCGGCAAGGGCCGGGCAAGGTCCCGGCAAGGTCGGGCCAGAGATGCCCGAACTCCTGGGCCCCCCGAGCGCCCCAACGAGGCGCCAAAAAGCTGGCACGCCCCACGGCCTCAGACCAAGCGTTCCAAGATGGCTCACGCTGGTCCTAAGACGGCCCACGAAGCGCCCAAGGAGCTACAGGAGGGTTCCAAGAGGACTTCGAGAGGCCCCGAAGACGCAAAAATGATTGATTTCGCGTGAGTTTTCGGATGATGTTGGCGGTACCGCCTTTTCGACCTGCCGACTGCTCTGGACAAACCAAGATGCCCCACGATCGCTGCAAGACGGTCCAGAAAGCTTTCAAGAGGGCCCCCAAATGGCCCAAGATGGCCCTAAGACCGCCCAAGAGGCTTCCAAGACGGCCCCATGATGGCCCCAAGAGGGGCCCAGAGGGGGAACCCGAACAGACATTTCGAGCTCTCGGCCCAAAGAGGCGCCCAGGAAGCCCCCAGAGACCCCCAAGACCCCCCCAACAGGCCCCAAGAGGTCCCTCAAAGGCTCCAAAAGAGGCTCCCAAGACCCCCAGCAGGCTCCCAGGAAGCACCAGGAGGCCCCCAAGAGGTCCCCAACAGGCCCTCAAAACTGCTCCCCAGAGCCTCCCGAGAGCCCTCCGAAGAGACCCCGAGAAGCATCCACGAGTAGTCTGACCCACAACCCAGGTATGTCTCAAAATTCTGCTGGAGCTCTCTTGAGCCATCGTGGCGCTCTCTGGGGCAGTCGATCGTCGCTCTTCGACAGGGTGGGAGCCACATCTCCAAAAGTCTCCTCGAGGACAGTCCTGCCTGCCCTACCGTTCCGCTTGGTACCACCATGCAGCCACTGTGATGCGAAAGGGCCGGCGGAATGAGCAAAGCGATTAAATAACACACAAAGACCTGAACCCTATCCCTCTTCCTTGACGCACAGCGTTTCGGACAAGGGAGGAGTAGGAGGAGGAAAGGGTGGTGGTGGTGGAAAAACCCTGCTGTGCGGGCTCATCCGTCGTCGGTAGGACGAATCGTTCGGAGCGGCTGTTCCACTGCATGGGTTTTACACACCCCTTATCAGGGCAACTCGCCTGGCAATCGCTTCTGGATGGGCTGGTGGGGATACGCGAAGCATCAAAGATCAAAACCAACAGATGCACATACCGCTACTCCCAGGGCCTCGCCCGGTGTGTGCTCTGACCAAGCTTACGGAGCAAATCCAACCGATGAGGGCCTCCTAGGAGGCCAAAAAAAGCCCAAAACTACGCCAGGGTAACGATATCTGTACCTGTACCTCCTCTGAGGTCTAGGTTAATCATCCCCCTCCTCGCCCAAGCCCCTCCGCGAGGCTCACCGGCGCGGTGCCCACCACCTTGGCCGTGCACGCGTCGTTGGCCTTGGCCGAGGTGTTCTTGGTGCCGTTGGTGCTGGTGCCATTGCCCTGCATAACCTGGAGCTGCGACGCCTGCTTGTGCCAGCCTTCGGGGGTACAGAATCGGGAGCGGCCAAGAGGGGGGTGTCCAAGAGGGGGGGGTGCAAATCATGACCGGCGGCATGTGCGCGCCCAGCGGGGGGACCAGGGACGTAATGAAGCAAGAAGAGGCGCCATGAAATCTGGGGAAATATCATGGACCCCGCCATTATATCCACCCCCCCTAGTCATCACCCCCCTCTTTGCCGCCCCCGACAGAATCACAGCAATCCCACGGCGTAATGACGCCTCCAAAGCAACGACTGCCGGGAAAGAGGTGGCCCCCCACAGCTTTACACGCGAGCGGCCCTTGATGCTGTCGCGGCCCCAGTCGGCAAGCTGGTCCATGTGCGACAGGAGCTCCTCCCACGTCATCACGCCCGGAGTGGAGTCCGGCTCGACGAAGTTGGGGCAATTGCACTGCGGGTACGCTTCCACCTGCGCTGGACAGGGACGTGGAAGGTGCGACAAATAGACATAGTGGATGGGGGCGGGAATGGGGGCGAGAGGAAAGGGGAAACACGCGGGTGCGCGTGCACCTGGAGAGGGCCGGGGAGGGAGAGGATCAGAAAGAGAAAGGGGCGATCAAGAACCTCCAGATCATTCCTTCAACGCGCTCTACCTAGGAGCTCGAGCCGGATACAACCGTCGCACATCAGGCTGCCCAGGAGTTCCGGAAAATGTCAAAACACACAAGACACAACTCCTCGATCGCACCTCCCCTCCTCGTTCTCCTTCCCTTGTCCGTCCGCTCGGACAGGAAACGAGAGACAGAGAGAAAGGCACGAAAAAGACCGAGACAGAAACAGAGAGAGAAAGGAAGAACGAAAGAAACTAACAGAGGCAGGGAAAGAAAAAAAGAGAGAGAGAGAGAGAGAGAGAGAGACAGAGCGAGGGAAAGAGAAACACTAGAAAAAGAGAGAGAGAGTCCAAGAGAAAGAGAGAGAGCGAGCGCGCGCGAGTGAGGAGGCAGGGCACTGCACCTCCTTGCACATGGTCTCGCAGACGCCCGCCAGCTTGTTCTGGAGCTGGGCACGCTGGGCCAGGTCCTGCGCGGCGCACGACTCCTCACCGTGCGTCGCCTTCAGCACCCCCGACACCTACCACGAGATGTAGGGAAAAAGAAGCAAGGACGAGGCACGAGGGAGGCTGCAGGAGGGAACGGAGGGGGAATGAGGGAGGACGGAGAAGAGAGGAAGGCAGGGAGGTGGATTAGGAGGAAGAGGAGGGAGGGGAGGAGGGAGGACGGAGGATGAGAACGAGGAGTCAAGAGACAATAGGGAAGGCGAAGAGTGACAGGGCTAGGACGCGGGCGAGAAGAACGAGGACGAGGAGAAAGGGGACGAGAAGGACGAGAAGGACGAGGAGGAAGAGTGATGCCGCTGCTGGCGTTGGCCCGCGCCACCTGCAGCTGCGCCGCCTGCTTGTGCCAGCCTTGCGCCGAATGCTTGGGGCACCGCCTCTGTCTCCCTGGCCTGGCCATCCGCTCGGAGTGCGAGGCGATCCGAGACCTGCCCACGGCAGCCCCGAACATGTCCCCTGACCAGACTGCTCGCGCCATGTTCGGGGCTGTCCGAGACGGCCCAAGGCACCCCGAGGCTGTCCGAGGTTGCCCCAAAACGATCAGGAAGCCAAAAGGATGCAACAACTGCGGGGACAGAGGCGGCCCCCCACGGCTTTTATATGAGAGCGAGCGGCCCTTGATGCTGTCGCGGCCCCAGTCGGCGAGCTGGTCCATGTGCGACAGGAGCTCCTCCCACGTCATCACGCCCGGAGTGGAGTCCGGCTCGACGAAGTTGGGGCAGTTGCACTTCGGGTACGCTTCCACCTGCGCTGGACAGGGACGTGGAGGGGGGGGACACCTGGACGGTCAGACGCAGGGGAGGGGGGCGGAGACGGGCAAGAGGGCGAGAAGAAGACGTGCGGCTGCGCGTGTGCTTGAGCGGGAGGGTGAAGGGCGGGAGAAAAAAAATGAGAGGGAGAGGATGGGAGGAGAGGGAAGTGGGATGCTGCACCTCCTTGCACATGGTCTCGCAGACGCCCGCCAGCTTGTTCTGGACCTGGGCACGATGCGCCAGGTCCTGCGCGGCGCACGACTCCTCACCGTGCGTCGCCTTCAGCACCCCCGACACCTACCACGAGATGTAGGGAAAAAGAAGCAAGGACGAGGCACGAGGGAGGCTGCAGGAGGGAACGGAGGGGGAATGAGGGAGGACGGAGAAGAGAGGAAGGCAGGGAGGTAGATTAGGAGGAAGAGGAGGGAGGGGAGGAGGGAGGACGGAGGATGAGAACGAGGAGTCAAGAGACAAAAGGGAAGGCGAAGAGTAACAGGGCTAGGACGCGGGCGAGAAGAACGAGGACGAGGAGAAGAAAGGGGACGAGAAGGACGAGGAGGAAGAGTGATGCCGCTGCTGGCGTTGGCCCGCGCCACCTGCAGCTGCGCCGCCTGCTTGTGCCAGCCTTGCGCCGAATGCTTGGGGCACCGCCTCTGTCTCCCTGGCCTGGCCATCCGCCTGGAGTGCGAGGCGATCCGAGACCTGCCCACGGCAGCCCCGAACATGTCCCCTGACCAGACTTCTCGCGCCATGTTCGGGGCTGTCCGAGACGGCCCAAGGCACCCCGAGGCTGTCCGAGGTTGCCCCAAAACGATCAGGAAGCCAAAAGGATGCAACAACTGCCGGGGACAGAGGTGGCCCCCCCACGGCTTTTAAGCACACGAGCGGCCCTTGATGCTGTCGCGGCCCCAGTCGGCGAGCTGGTCCATGTGCGACAGGAGCTCCTCCCACGTCATCACGCCCGGAGTGGAGTCCGGCTCGACGAAGTTGGGGCAATTGCACTGCGGGTACGCTTCCACCTGCGCTGGACAGGGACGTGGAAGGTGCGACAAATGGACGTAGTGGATGGGGGCGGGGATGGGGGCGAGAGGAAAAGGGAGACACGCGGGTGCGCGTGCACCTGGGGAGGGCGGAGAGGATCAGACAGACAAGGGGGCGATCAAGAATCTCCAGATAACTCCTCCAGCGCGCTCTGACCAGGAGCTCGAGGCGGATCCAGCCGCGGCGGCTAAGGCGTTCCAGGATGCCAAACAATATCAAAAACATACCAGACACAAATCCTCGATCGCACCTCCCCTCGTCATGCTCCCTGACAGGACACAGGAGAGAGATAGAGAACGAGAAGGAGAGAGGCAAGTGAGAGAAAGGAGAGAGAGAGAGAGAGATGCAAACAAATACTTACATGAACAAAAAACGCGAAGCAAATGGGACGAGGCAGAGGAGAGAGAGAGAGAGAGAAAAAAAAAAAAAAAAAAAAAAAAAAAAAAAAAAAAAAAACATAGATATATATATATATATATATAAGAAAGAGCGAGAGAGAGAGAGACAAAGAGAAATAGAGAGAGCGAGAGAGAACAAAAACAACGACATCTGCATGAGAGAAAAGGGGGACAGAGAAAAACAGCAGCAACAACAACAACAACAAAAACAAAAACGCGAGAGTGTTGCACCTCCTTGCACATGCTCTCGCAGACGCCCGCCAGCTTGTTCTGCAGCTGGACACGCTGGGCCAGATCTTGTGCAGCACACGACTCCTCACTGTGCTTCGCCTTCAGCACCCCCGACACCTTGGAGAACGAGGGAAACGACTGTAACGACGACGGCGGCGGCCAACGACAATGACAACGATAACGACAACAACGACGATGACAACGAAGACGACGTGGAGAGAAAGGAGGAGGTGGAGAGGGAGGAGAACGAGGAGTCAAGGAACGATGAGGAAGAAGAGGAGTAGCAGGACCAAGACGCAGAAGAAGGCGAGAAGTAGCAGGACAAGGGCTCGGACGAGAAGGACGAGGGCGACGAGAAGAAATAGGACGAGAAGAACGAGGACGAGGAGGAAGAGTGATGCCGCTGCTGGCGTTGGCCCGCGCCACCTGCAGCTGCGCCGCCTGCTTGTGCCAGCCTTGCGCCGAATGCTTGGGGCACCGCCTCTGTCTCCCTGGCCTGGCCATCCGCCCGGAGTGCGAGGCAATCCGAGACTGCCCACGGCAGCCCCGAACGTGTCCCCTGACCAGACTGCTCGCGCAATGTTCGGGGCTGTCCGAGACTACTCGAGGCTACTCGAGACTGCCCCGAACAATAAGGACCCGCGGGAATGCAACAACTGCCGGGGACAGAGGTGGCCCCCCCACGGCTTTTAAGCACACGAGCGGCCCTTGATGCTGTCGCGGCCCCAGTCGGCGAGCTGGTCCATGTGCGACAGGAGCTCCTCCCACGTCATCACGCCCGGAGTGGAGTCCGGCTCGACGAAGTTGGGGCAATTGCACTGCGGGTACGCTTCCACCTGCGCTGGACAAGGACGTGGAGGGAGGGGGGCGGAGACGGGCAAGAGGGCGAGAAGAAGACGTGCGGCTGCGCGTGTGCTCGAGCGGGAGGGTGAAGGGCGGTAGAAAAAAATTAGCCTGACGAAAGACCCAACCATACGTAGTTGTGAATACCGCAATTGTGGATATATTCTTCGGTGGCGCCCCCGGGCCACGAAACGAGTGAGGGGTGTGCCGAAATGGGGGGGTGGAACCGCATGCGAGCGCAGCCACTGGGGCGCTCGGTGGAGCTCCCTATGGGGCCACGAAACGTGTGAGGGGTGTGCCAGAATGGGGGGTGGAACCGCATGCGGGCGCAGCCACTGGGGCCTTCGGTGGAGCTCCCTATGGGGCCACGAAACGTGTGAGGGGTATGCCAGAATGGGGGGTGGAACCGCATGCGGGCGCAGCCACTGGGGCCTTCGGTGGAGCTCCCTATGGGGCCACGAAACGTGTGAGGGGTGTGCCAGAATGGGGGGTGGAACCGCATGCGGGCGCAGCCACTGGGGCCTTCGGTGGAGCTCCCTATGGGGCCACGAAACGTGTGAGGGGTGTGCCAGAATGGGGGGTGGAACCGCATGCGGGCGCAGCCACTGGGGCCTTCGGTGGAGCTCCCTATGGGGCCACGAAACGTGTGAGGGGTGTGCCAGAATGGGGGGTGGAACCGCATGCGGGCGCAGCCACTGGGGCCTTCGGTGGAGCTCCCTATGGGGCCACGAAACGTGTGAGGGGTGTGCCAGAATGGGGGTGGAACCGCATGCGGGCGCAGCCACTGGGGCCTTCGGTGGAGCTCCCTATGGGGCCACGAAACGTGTGAGGGGTGTGCCAGAATGGGGGGTGGAACCGCATGCGGGCGCAGCCACTGGGGCCTTCGGTGGAGCTCCCTATGGGGCCACGAAACGTGTGAGGGGTGTGCCAGAATGGGGGGTGGAACCGCATGCGGGCGCAGCCACTGGGGCCTTCGGTGGAGCTCCCTATGGGGCCACGAAACGTGTGAGGGGTGTGCCAGAATGGGGGGTGGAACCGCATGCGGGCGCAGCCACTGGGGCCTTCGGTGGAGCTCCCTATGGGGCCACGAAACGTGTGAGGGGTGTGCCAGAATGGGGGGGTGGAACCGCATGCGGGCGCAGCCACTGGGGCCTTCGGTGGAGCTCCCTATGGGGCCACGAAACGTGTGAGGGGTGTGCCAGAATGGGGGTGGAACCGCATGCGGGCGCAGCCACTGGGGCCTTCGGTGGAGCTCCCTATGGGGCCACGAAACGTGTGAGGGGTGTGCCAGAATGGGGGGTGGAACCGCATGCGGGCGCAGCCACTGGGGCCTTCGGTGGAGCTCCCTATGGGGCCACGAAACGTGTGAGGGGTGTGCCAGAATGGGGGTGGAACCGCATGCGGGCGCAGCCACTGGGGCCTTCGGTGGAGCTCCCTATGGGGCCACGAAACGTGTGAGGGGTGTGCCAGAATGGGGGGTGGAACCGCATGCGGGCGCAGCCACTGGGGCCTTCGGTGGAGCTCCCTGGGGCCTTCGGTGGAGCTCCCTATGGGGCCACGAAACGTGTGGGGCCACGACGTGTGGGTGTGCCAGAATGGGGGGTGGAACCGCATGCGGGCGCAGCCACTGGGGCCTTCGGTGGAGCTCCCTATGGGGCCACGAAACGTGTAATGGGGGGTGGAACCGCATGCGGGCGCAGCCACTGGGGCCTTCGGTGGAGCTCCCTATGGGGCCACGAAACGTGTGAGGGGTGTGCCAGAATGGGGGGTGGAACCGCATGCGGGCGCAGCCACTGGGGCCTTCGGTGGAGCTCCCTATGGGGCCACGAAACGTGTGAGGGGTGTACCAGAATGGGTGTGGGAGGGGGAGGAGAGAGGGGGCAGCGGGAGGAAGGAAGGAGACGCGGAGCACCGTCTCTTCAAAACGAGGACCCAACACCACAGGATGGTTGGGAAAAATGAGAGGGAGAGGATGGGAGGAGAGGAAAGTGGGATGCTGCACCTCCTTGCACATGGCCTCGCAGACGCCCGCCAGTTTGTTCTGGACCTGGGCACGGTGCGCCAGGTCCTGCGCGGCGCACGACTCCTCACCGTGCGTCGCCTTCAGCACCCCCGACACCTGAGGATCGAGGGGCGAGGGAGGGAGGAGGAGGAGGAGGAGGAGGAGGAGGAGGAGGAGGGGGAGGAGGAGGAGGGAGGAGGGAGGAGGAGGAGGGAGGAGCAGGAGCAGGAGGAGGAGGGTTGTTCGTGCCCCCTCGCCCTCTTCTCTCGGGCCCCCCGTCCGTCTGCCCCCTGAAGGCCAACATCAACGTCTTGGCTTCGGAGAAGCGTTGGAGCGTTTTTTCATGGAAGAGGAAAGAGCGGCACGAGCATGAGCTTTCGAAGGCCCGCGCGGATATCTGCTCTGGATCCCCCTCCCTGGAGCGCAAGGGGTCCAGCACAGATCTCTCCATCAAGCGCATATCCAAGTGTGCATCCACGATATTTAGCGGCCCTTCGAAAACTACTGCTTCTGCCGCTGCTCTCTCCTCACAGCTCCTGGAGGCCTCCCAGGCATCGGCCGGACGTGGCCCTGGCAGGGTGCGCTCTCCGAAGCGGCGGGTTCCTGCCGTGGTGACGTCTGCACTGATTTCTGACACTGCGCGGATTGCTGTCCTTGAACGGTTGCATCTTTGTTCCGAGTGCGCCGATCGTCCTGCATCGGCCGACGCCCTGCCACGACTGGACGCGGCCCACGAGACACGCACTCACAACTGGACGAGCCCCTGGGGGGGGGGGGGGGGGGCGCTTCTGAGCACGGGCTCAGCGCCGGGGCCCGAGGGGCACCCGGCGGGGTGGGCCCTCCGAGCATGTAGCAGCCGCGCAGGACGCGGGCAACCTCTGGCTTCATGCGGAGGGCTAAGCCAGGGCGGATCCGGGCAGAAGTCGTAGCTCTGGGGTGGGGGGCTTGGGAGCGGGCCGAACTCAGAGCGGACCAGCACTGCGGACCCAGATCGAAGACCAGAAAATCCGCGCGGCGCGAGGACGTCCACGAGGGCGCCTAACTTCGCGCTCTCGCGCCGCCCCCCAGGGAAGACGAGGAGGAAGAGGAGAAATCGGAGAAGAACCTCGAAGCGCGAAGCGCGAATCGCTTGGCGCCCTCCAGGGCGCCCTTGGTCCAGGTTGGAGCGGGTCAAAAGCACATGCTAAAGAATAGGTGTTGAACGAGCACCTGACCTCTGAATCTGTACAGGGGCCGGACCCGCGACCTGCCTGTTGGAGCATGCTGGTCGTTGGACCGCGGGAGGGCCCATTCTAGTGGGACCTCAGACACCTACTGCCACGGGCATCCCACCAGCCCTCTGGACGTGAGTGGTGCAGAGCGCTTCCTCCTCCAACCCCGCTGTTCCCATACGGAGAGGAGCTACCCCTGCCCCCACCTCCCCCAGGGTCTGGGCGCGGCGCCCCGCGACCCACTGGAGCGCCCGACATGGCCTCGGCGAGAAGACACAAATCATTGACTTGACTTCGCTTTGGGACCCATGTCGATCTCCTGGAGGGAAACTCTAGCGTGGTACACCCTTTCTTTGATCGATCTCCTCCACGATGGATCCAACATGGCCCCCGTGGCTCTCAAGGGTGCCCGCAGAGGGCCCCAAGAGGCGCCCAAGAGGCCCCAAGAGGCCCAAAGAGGTCCCCAAGAGGCCCCCAAGAGACCCCCAAGAGGCACCAAGAGGCTCTCCCGAGGCACCCAAGACGCTCCACGAGACCCCTCGGACAGCCAAGAGGCCCCAAAGACGCCCCAAGAGGACCCCAAGACACTCTCAAGAGATATCCAACGAGACTCCGAAAGACATCCAAGAGGCCTCTGGCCTTTCTGCTCGCCCTCCTCCTCCTCCTTCTCTTCCTCCTCCTCCTCCTCCTCCTGCACCTGCTCCTCCTCCTCCTCCTCCTCCTCCCCTCCTCCTCCTCCTCCTCCTCCTCCTCCTGCTCCTCTTCTCATCTTCCAACAACCTCCTCCTCCTCCTCCTCCTCCTCCTCCTCCTCCTCCTCCGATTCCTCCTCCTCCTGCTCCTCCACCTCCTCCTCCATCCTCTCCATATTGGGGACGGCGGCTTCCCAAGCCCTTTATTCCACCGCATGCTCATCCACATCCCTGATCAAGGAAACTCGCCTGGGCATCGTTTCTGGATCGGCTGGTGTGGTTACACGAAGCGTCTAGATCAACCTCGGGACTCGCGGGCACCTGCTGGGCCCAGGGCCAGATGCCAACTTCTGATGTTGGCTTGCGGCCTGGATCAATTGGCGAAAGCATCGGCTCGAGGGTAGGACAGGGCGTCCTTGGACGCCCCTTCCCATGGACGCTCCGCCCTGCAGAAGCCCTGTGCCCATCTTGGGCCTGAGGGCGTGTCCCTTTTGGGCAATCTTGGGAGGTCCGACGAGGAGCGGGAGACTGGGGAGGAGATTAGTCGGCGGCGAACGAAGAGGGGAAGTGAGAAGGTGAAGGCCTTCTCGGAAGGCGGCGGAGCTTCTCAGAAGCCCTCGCGCCTTCTGAGGGGCTTTCTGTGTCAGCGGGGAAGGCTCCGAACACTTCTCAGGAGGCCGGGGGACGGCCGAGCGTTATGAGGAGGCCCGCCTCTTCGCGCTTCCCCCCCGAGCTCGCCGCGGAGTCCTGGAAGGCCCGACGAGGGGGGGGGTCGAGGGTCGACGGTAATTGAGAGAGACGAGAGGTCAGAGCTCGGGGATGCGGCTGTGCAAAAGGAGTACTTGCACGACTGGGAAAACCAAGGCCGTGTCCCAGCCATGGCCCTGGTGGCGCGAATGCAGAGTTGCTTGGCGGTGGCGAGGTGAAGGGGAGAGGAAACCAAGGAGGCAGTAGAATGTGCCAGGTGTTGGCTGTGTGTGTCACTGCCGCGTCTCCACAGTTGGGAAGCACTCGGCAGCCGTGGTGAGGACCACGAGCTTGTCAGGGCGCAGCCAGTTAGACAATTGAAAGAGGCTGCGCCTTGGACCTGCGTGGTAGCGCCCCCTACGCGCCTCACCATCCGAGCTATGCCCACGGTAGCCAAGTGGGCGAAAATGGGGGCGCGGACAGCTGCAGTAGGCCTCCCGCTCCTGCCAGAAATCCGCTACGCAAAAAGACGAATGTTGTCGTGAGGAAGACCAGAGGGCACAGCACAAGGATTGCGAGCGAGAGACAGAGGCTGGACAGCAAACCCCTCCCCGATGAGGTCCGCAGAGGGGTGAACTGGGCTATCCATCGAGGCTCGGCTGCGGAAACAGCGGACCAAGAGGGCGTGCGCTCAAGGAGCAGATGGAAGAAGAGAAAGTTGCCCGAGCCGCTGCCAGCTCCTCAGAAGGGCACGATAGAGGGGCTGCCCTGGAGTGGCTGCCTGCCAGCGACTGCCAGGCAGTGGGAAGGGCACATGCTATTGACCGTGATCCCTGCACACACGTTCGAAACACCTGAGGATGCCCACAGGCGAAAGTATCTGAGAGAGGACAGGCAGTGGCATCACAAGGTTGCAACAGACGCGTAAGAGGCAGTGTGCATAAAAAATGTCTGGTCTGCCCGATTTACCTGTGACGACTCGTTGTATGTAATGCTATCCAGAATGTGAACATCCGATCTGACCATACCGGTCATGAGCGAGGAAGCTGGGACGGGAGGAAAAATGGGCGGAGGAAGAGAGGGAGCGAGGGATGGAGGAGAGAGGGGAAGGGAGGAGGTAGGGGGGAGGAGGACGGAGAGAAGAGGGAGGAGGAGATCGAGAAATAAGATGAGGAGGGGGAGGAGGACTGACGACGACGACGAGAGCGAGGACGTGGACGGCGGGTGCAGTTGGTCCGTGCGACCTGTAGCTGCGCCGCCTGCTTGTGCCAGCCTTGTGCCGACTGCTTGGGGCACCGCCCCTGCCCCCCGATTGCCAGGACACCTCCACGGTGCCCGAGGCTGCCCAGAGGCAGCGCGAGGCTACCCGAGGCTACTCGAGGCTGCCCCCCGAACGACCAGGGCCCGCGGGGATGCAACAACTGCCGGGGACAGAGGTGGCCCCCCCGCGGCTTTTGAGCATGCGAGCGGCCCTTGATGCTGTCGCGGCCCCACTCGGCGAGCTGGTCCATGTGCGACAGGAGCTCCTCCCAGGTCATCACGCCCGGAGTGGAGTCCGGCTCGACAAAGTTGGGGCAGTTGCACTTCGGGTACGCCTCCACCTGAGGAGGAAGGAAAGAGGAAGAAGAACAATGCGACCGACGGCGGGGGGGGGGAACCAGGGAGAGCACGAGGAGAAGGAACAATGTGCCTGCACCTGGAGCAGGAAGGAGGGATGCGGAGGGAGAGGAGGAACAAAAAAAGGGGACGGAAAGGAAGAGGGGGAAGAGAAAGAGGACGAGGAGGGAGAGGAGAAAGGATACGAAAGATGAATGAGGAGGGAACGGAAGGACCGGCGCACAAGAGGGGGAGGGGAGGAGAAAGAGAAATGGGAGAAAAAGGAAACCGATGGGGGAGAAGGGGAGGGAGCAAAGGGGAACCTCCTTAACGCCCCGACAACCACTTGATCCGACGGAATCTGAATGTTAACCAGAGTGGATCCCGAACAATCCATGGCATGTGGCGGAATGTGTGGTATTGTGCACGCGTTGTCCAATATATGTTGCGCAGTCTACGTTGTGCACTACTCGTGGAGAAGGCTACGCGGTACATTCTATATGGTGCAACCACCGTGGTGCAATATGTACATATATATATACATAGATACTAGAACCACGCGCGCTACGTGCACGTTTAGGTCCTCTTCGGTTACCGCGGCAGTCACAACATTTGCGCAGTCTGGGAAACAATCGGAGCTTCCCGGCGCATCGCACGTCGATCCGCGACCGCCCACCGACTCCGAAGCTATCCCCCAGAAGGCCCAGCACCTCAACGCGCCAAGGGCGGCCCTTGCCCGGGGAATCCTCCCCTGGGTATTTTGGGGCTCGTGGAGGAGCGCGAGGTCCACTGACGACGACTGCGCACGTCGGCTACAACCTGAGCTCCCAAAACGGCCCCATCGCCCCAACAATGCCACACGAAATTGACACTGAGACGTCCTTGACAAGGAAGCGGTTTGCGTTCAGTTTGCATGAGATTTGGTGCCCTATTGGTGCCGTTTCGTAGCTCTCTGGGGGCGTTTTGGCCGCGTCCAGGGCGGCCTCGGGGGTATATTGGGCCGCGTTGGGGACCTCTCGGGCCGTCTCGGGCCGGCCCCGGGGGCCTCTGAAGACGCCACGAGGCGCCGGGAGCCCGAGAAGTCGAGGAGACCTTCCAAACAAACAGAAACACCCAAGGAGCAATAGTTGCTTTGTTTGTCCCTCATGCGGCCATCTGGGGAGCGCCCATCGAGTCCCCCTGGGCCTTCCGGGGGCATCTTAGGACGGAAGCTCGAGTTATCGCTTCGGGCTCCTGCGCTCGGGCCCCTCTTGGATCTGTCTTGGGGTGTCTTGGGCGCCTCCAGGGCCGCCCGTGGCCCCCTGGCCACTTTCCGGGCACTCTCGGGTGCCTCTGGGCCCGTCGCGGGGCGGTCTCAGGGGCCTCGCCAGACGTCGCGGAGCGCTGGAAGCTGGAAAGTCAAGGGCCGTGGGAATCAACGCGCATTGCCGCGCGGGGCCCCCTGGGGAGCGCCCGGCAAGCCCGTCTGGGTCGTCGTCTGGGGCACCTTGGGGCGGAAAGCTCGAATTGTCCTTCCGAACTCCTGCTCGTCGGCCCCTCTGGGGGCCGTCTTGGGGCCCTCTTCGATCGTCTTCGGCCCCCCTCGGGTCCGTCTTGGAACCCTCTTGGCCCCCATTGGGATCCTCTCGGGGGCCTCTCAGGCCGTCTTGGGGCGGTCTTGGAGGCTGTTTGGGGCGTCGCGGAGCGTCGGGAGATCGAAAATCAAGAACCCAAAAATCATAGAATTTGTTTCCAATGTGTTCTAACAGTCGATCGAATGGCAGGGCGAGCGGCGCTGACAAGAGCCCAGCCACTCAGGAGCCCTGGGCGTAGACCGCCATCGCGAGCTCCACGACGCCCCCGTAGTTCTGCCAGTCGTCTGCACGCATCCCTGTCGCGGCCGAACTTCCGCTCGTCGCTGACCTCGTAAGAATGCTGGTCGTCTGCCTTCATCCACGTCGAGGCCGCACTCTGCGTTCTTTCCGTTTGGCATGTCTCCATTTCGGCGCAGATGCACTCGTACTCGGCGACCAGTCCATATGCTTACGCATGGGCTTCAGCGCGCACTGAAAAGCTCGACCCTGCGGCCATCCTTCACATGCTTCCACGATCTTGCCACACAAGTGCTTCTCCGCCGTCGCCCCACACTGCCAGCAGAAGTGCTTCGTCTTGTGCCGGGGCCACCATGTTGCGTGCGTCGCGCGCGAGAGCTTCCCCTTGAGCACCAGGCTGCGTCTTTCTCGCTATCGTCGGTCGGCTCGTTCTGCAGCGCGCGGCTAGTGATCTCTGCTTGTTCCCGATCGACCCCTTGCGCCTCGCGCGGCGCAGCACCCTGCCCTTCACGGTCAGCTGACGCGGGGATCTCCACTTCAGCTCCTCGAAGTCCTCCTTCGGGTCGTTCTGGCGCTTCCTCGTCTTTCTGGCCTCGTCCTCCTCCTCCCCCGTCATCGGCTTCACCCTCTCGAACAACTCCTAGCACGCCTGGCCAATCCGCGTCCGCGCCAGGTGTGAAGTCGCTCTGGCCCAGTTGTAGCAGCTCATCTGCGCCTCCGAGATCTAGCAGATGGCCGCTGCTACTCCTGCCTGCTCGTCTGCCTGCACGTATCCTTGCCACGCTGCCATAGGTACACCTCGCTCTCGAGCTTGCCCCTTGGTCAAGTGGTTCTCGATGTGCCTGACGTGCACTCCAGTTTCTCCTCTCTCGAGCCTTTGCTTCATCTTCTTCCAGAGGTCCCAGCGAACCTTCTCATAGTCCTTGATGGAGTACCTCTTGGCCTGCCATCCCTTGCACGGAATCCCAGCGTCCGCGCAGAAGGTCAGGTTGCCCTCGGCCGCAGGCAATCCAGAAACGCCGTGATCTCTGCCCTTTCGTTGTACTGCCTGGCCCCTGGTGGGGGCCCCGAAACTTCCGCCGCGGTTGCCCACTGCACGCTGACCATCTCCACCGCGACCCAGCTCCATCCACATCTCCCGTATATGGCGTTGTCTCCATGGGCTCCTCCGCTTCCGTCGCCACACGCTGCGATGGTGCCCCCCACCGCGTGCAGTTTCTCGCCCGTTGCTGGGCCACGATGCGCAGGAGTGGTGTGCCGAAACGGGAGTGGCGCCCACATGCGAACGCTGCCTCTCGGGCCTTCGATGAAGCTCCCTGTGGGACCACGAAACGTGTGAGGGGTGTGCCAAAACGGGCGTGGCGCCCACATGCGGACGCTCCCTCTGGGGCCTTCGGTGGAGCTCCTTATGGGGCCACGGAACGCATGAGGGGTGTGCCGAAACGGGCGTGACGCCCACATGCGAACGCTGCTTTGGGGGCCTTCGGCCACATTCGAGCGCTCCCTCTGGGGCTTTCCCTGGAGGTTCCTACGGAGCCAGCCGAAATTGAT